GAGATGGCGGGGTGGAGGTGAAGATCTTTCGCAGATGGGCCTGTATGATGTCTTCCTCTCTGCCGAAGCGTTCCTGCAAGGTCTTGAGAGCCTCCTGGTAGAGTTCCCCGTTGAAGAGCATGCCGTTGATGGCTTGGGCAGCTGGTCCCTCCACCGCGTTTTGAAGGTGTGCCATGCGCTCGGAGTCTGACAACGACGGCTGATTATGCACCAAAGCTTTAAACAGCCCAATCCAGCGTGGCCACTCTTGAGCGCTTCCTCGGAACGTCGGCAGGGTAAGACGTGGGATGCTCTTCACAAACGCCGATTGTTGATGAAACAAAGGCTGTTGCTCAGAGCGAACATCTGTCACCCAGTTAGCGGGATGCTGTTCCTTCTTGCTGCTCGGCAGCTCGGCGTTGTTTGCGGCTGTCTGCTGCTCAGGTTGCAGTGTTCGGCGCTGTTCTTGTGGCGGTGGTCTACGCTGAGGCAGGTCGACCGTTACTGAACCCTCCGCCACATTGCACTCCCTGGGAACCAGAGCGACGTTCTCGCCATCGAAATCGTGCCGTCTCTCCCACTCAAGGTCGCTCTCAGCCGCCTTCCAGAGACGTGCCTTCACAAGCGCTCGTTCAACCTCTTCCTCCATATCCTTCTCCTCCAGCATGTCCTCTTGCTTCCTCAGCATGTCCTCTTGCTTCCTCAGCATGTCCTCTTGCTCTTTCTTCTGCCTTTCTCGTTCCTTTCTTGCCCTGAGATGCTTCAGCTCGAGGGCCTTCATCTCTGCAGTTATTTCAGCCTCCCTTGCCACTGTTGAGGCCTTTGAGCATTTTGAAGCCCGGGACCCACTGATCTTACTTCCGTCTCGCCGTGGAGCGAGCGACATCGGCTTCCCCTCTGTCTCGGACGCTGAGCAGCCTGAGGACTTCAACTTGATGGCCTCTTTAATCGCCTTGATTGCTGAGGCGTGCCGTGCCGTCAACCGGGCGGCATACTCTTCCGCCTCTTCTAGCTCACCCACTTCCTGTACCTTTTCCACATAATCACCATTTATCTCCAGGAAGCCTTCCAGGGCCGTGTTCAGGGACTCAAGCCGCTTCCTAAGTTCTTCTTCACTTGCACAGCGATCGATTTGTATCTCAGCCGTGTTGCAGGCACGGGTGAGTAGAGCGGCCTTGCGGCCACGCTGCAGCTTCAGGGTCTTCAGCTCACCGGTGGCGTTTCCTTCCTTCGCTCCGCCATCGACCCTGTTCTGCGGCATCGCCTTCCCGTTGCTTTCCTCTGTTGAGTCTTGAGGCGTCAGGGCTCCCAACTCTCCAGCAGCACGTCCATTCTCTGCTCCAGCGCCGTCGCCGCTCCGTAGCATCATCTCTCTGCCTTCTCCCTCCTTTGAATCTTCCATTAGCCTTAACTCAGATCCTGCAGGGGGCGAGTTGATACCACTTGACGAACACTGGCGAGGGTTGCTACTGCGGGCTGTGCCCCTGGACCTCTTCCTCTGACTTCTCACCTCTGGCCGGGATCATCCGGCCCGGAGGACCAGAAAATGTTGCAGACGTTCTTCAACTTGACTCAGTGGACTGTATAACTGTGTGTGTGTTGACGTCTCGCATCATTTGGTGTGGCGACCGGGGCCTGACAGGATATAGGTTGATATGGTAATGAGGCGAAATTGGGAATTTATAATATAAGAAGTGGATGCTATATGAATGGATATAATTTTGGATCAAGGTTTAAGAGCACTCTTTTCAGAGCGACAAAGGAACCCTCTTTACAGAGAGCATGTTAAGACCTAAAAGGGTATGCGGAGCCCTCTTTTCAGAGAGACAAAGGAACCCTCTTTACAGAGAGCATGTTAAGACCTAAAAGGGTATGCAGAGCCCTCTTTTCAGAGAGACAAAGGAACCCTCTTTACAGAGAGCATGTTAAGACCTAAATATAGAGCCCTCTTTACAGAGAGCAAGAGGTATTAGGAAAATAAGGAATCAGATAGGAATGATAAGTAGACCCGGTCACCGTGAAATAGAAGACTGTGCGAACTGACTGTGTGCCACTCTCCCCGTGCTCTTATCCGCCGCTGCACTCCACTCTTCACCATTCACAAACACAAGATTCTTCCGAACTGGTGAGTATTGCAGATGGCGAATAGGCGATGACAACACAGTATCACTGACAAGAGTTGGCCAGAGAGAGCGAGGCAGTGCTCTCTCGGCGCCGAAAAGTAAAGAAGTGAGAGCGAGGGTTGCTCCCGCCCCGTTTATGTACTGGGTCGGGAGGACACAGATGGCGACGGAAGTGATGAAAATAACAAAGAAGCTACACACTACACAGCGTCCTGGTAACCCTACCACGCGGTCGGCACATGTCGGCCTAACGGCTCCGGCCCGCCGGGGACACAGTCCCACGTGCGACGCCAGGCCAGCCCACCCCCTCCCCCGGGTCAGTCCCTCCGGTAACAGCGCATCCTTTCATACAACTGCAGCTGTAGGACACGGTCGCCGGGAGAGAGGAGCGTCCCGACACCCGATCACTGCCATAAAGTCTCTCGCGGACGGCCCATCTGCCGGCGGCGTGGCAGGGGGATGGGGCGGTGGCGGCGCGGAGCGGCGCCGGCCGGGATCACGAATCGGCCCGGCAGCAACGATCAGAGCCGAAATGAGACGCAACACCAACTACCTAGTGCAGTTTGTCGGCAACAAGGGTGTTGACCTCAGGTCTAGGCAAGGTCGCAGCTGCTCAGGTTATGAATTTGGTCGAAGGAAGGTACATTACATAGTATTCGGTTCGATAGGATCTCTCGAGTCCTTTGGTGGCTATCTCGACTTGTTAGCTCAATTCGGTCGAGAGTTATTGAAGAAAAACTTTGATTTTCTCGAGTCAAGCGACCTTTGTGACGTCATAATTGCCATCATATAAGATCTCAATACAAAACCTAAGCATGAGACCTCATGCGGTATGTATGAAATCACGATTCTAGATGCCCGAGATTATCTTTAAATTTCCAACGTCAAAATCAGTGTCAATATTTATCCCATTGACTCTATAATTGTGAGGTCACGGGACCGATCTGACTTTAGGCGACCTTTTCATGCAAATTTGGAATTTTGCTATTTGTGAGGCATCGGAAGCGTACTGTTTCCGGTAAGTTTCATCGTCCCTCGAAAGGCCCTGGCTGAGTGCGTTGCAAATTTGCGACTTTTTTTGTTTACCGTACTTACAAAGGCTCGCGAATGACGTTATAGGTCAGTGACTTGAGTTCGACTTGAAGCAAAGGTCAGGAGATTCCTCATCCAGCTTTCCATCGCTAAAAGGTTCTGAGCAGTCGCGAAGCTGTGTCCGTGACAGACAACGATTGTCGTAGAGACTTACTTGAAAAAAAAAACACCGAGCATGACGTCATTCTGACCAGGTCTGCGGAGTCAATGGATTTTAGGGTGACTCCGACTCCGACCCCGACTCCAGCTTCAAAAATCGACTCCAACTCCGACTCCAACTCTGACTCCGACTCCGGACGGTTCTGTCAAAATCCACATAATGATATTGAAGTTCATAATGGATATGTTTTTACCTTGCCTGAAATGATCCCTTGTGCGTTCCATGGCTTTGCAGTGCAAATGTGCATTAACAATAGCATGCAGGATTAAAAACCAAGTTCTGGAGAATTCACCGTCTTCTGCTTCTTTCGATGAAAATGTTCGTCCAAAACAGAAAAATTGTCTTTTTTTCGACAAAACATAATTTCGAGCGTCATATCATCAATCAAACAGGTGCAGTGCATGACGTTGAGCCATGCAGCGTTAACTCCGACTCCGGAGTCGGAGTCGGTAATATTTTGGCTACTCCACCTCCGACTCCGACTCCGACTCCGACTCCGCAGTCCTGATTCTGACCATTCCGACTAGCCTATGATAGCAGCGAAGTCCTTCATCTGACAGCATCTGTCATATTGATGCAGCAGAAGTTACTGAAAGTTTGGTGTTCATAGGCCTCGCAGTTAAGAAAATGTTACAGGAGGGGAAAATGAGAAGTCATCGGCAAAGGCAAAAGGCAAAGGCTAGTCAGACATTTGCAAATTTCCCGCTTTACTATCATATAAAAATAAAATCCCATTTTTATCAGCGTCACCAGCATGGAATATTCCTTTTTTACTGAACTGGTTTTTGCTGATATAGATGATACTGATATTATCTGTTAACCCTAATCACGGATCACAGGTAGGTATTTACGAGCACGTGTTTGCCTATTGACAGAGCCAGACACCACTGAGCCGGCGGTCCGGGTGTCCGGTTTCAGCGTCCACCGCACCCCGGTCTCGGCAGTTGTAATGAGCGCGAGTTCGTGGTAATCGCTCCCTCACGACGCCGGCCGGCCGTTACCGTGATTTGAAGACCTCTGGTTCCCTGCCAGCGTCGCGTCACTCCTGGATTCTGATTGGTCGGCACAGGCTGCCAGAGTCCGCCCGCCCCCAGCCGACGCCACTCGTGACGCCGCAACAGGGTTTGAGGACCACTGCACGCTCACAGCCGTCGGACCATAATTCTTCCTGTCCACTGCCGAGTTGAGAACCCCATGGCGTCTCGGGACCCGACTGACTACAACTGTGTAGGGCGGCGACGGGCGCCGAGGGCTCACGGCGCTCTGCAAACGGCCGAGCGGGGCCGGGCGTCGACTCGGGGCGACGGAAAAACCGAGCCCACCCCAGGAAAACCGCGACATAACCAAGATCTCAAATATCGAGTACGTCGAGTACCTGCGGCTCTACTACAGAAAATATTCGATCGACGTTTTGTAACCACCCCTGTTTGACTGATGATCATCAAACAATCTGACATTTGCACTCGACCGCATAATGTTTCGAAATGTTTGCTAAACGCAAGCCTCAGTTCAGAGCGGAGTGGGAACAGGATTCCTCTCATCGCCTCGCCATTCTAGCGGTGGTGACACTTTCCGTCAACATACATCAATGCCACCTTTGGCACCAGCGCTACTCCCCGTCTGTCCCTTCTCCATGTCACCACACATCCAGGCCGAAATGTATTGCCGCTTAGAGAATTCCGCAGAGCGATAACCGACCAGCACCCACCCAGAGACCGGCGAGCTCCGACACAGACACGGGACAGAAGCACAGCGTGGCCCTCAGCTGAGATCTGTAGGTTGCATGTGACAAATAATCGCGACACCAAGGCTACGGCAACCCCAACAACAACACAAACACACAGACACACCGCGCCGAGACGCCGAACACGATAATGTGGTCCCCCGCGACAGATGAGGAGGCATTGCACGCCCTCTTGTTTCCTGCTACAGTCGAATCAGAACAGAACGGAATGGGCAGACAAACAGACAGACGAACAGACAGACAGACAGACAAACAGACAGACAGACAAACAGACAGACAGACAGGGCAGGCTTACACGGGACGGTAACAGGATTATCTTTCGAGTCATTCCCCTCACATGGTAGTAACGCAAAATATTTTTAGCTATTTGCGAAAATGCAGCTTCACGTCTAAATAATAATTCATGCTACTCTTTGCAACACGGATGTTGTGTCAAGCTCATTCGTTACGTCGTTCGGTACCCACTCTATCAGCTTCCAAAACATCACCGGACCAAAGACATTTATGGCGAACGGCACTGGAAAATTCAAAACATCTAGATTTATCAACCCAAATCGCTGATTGGAAGACATTCTCACATCAGGCTATAACCTACGTCAGGAATGCAGTGCATCGGCCATGGATACTTATATGATGGACATGAAGTGCTCACTAAGACAATGCTCCATCACCATAACACTACACAGCACGCGGGCAAACGCACACGAAGGAAACGCACTTCGCCAGCCCCAAACTACGGTGAAATTCTAACAGGCCGCTCATACGAAAGGACCTGTAACTATATGCATACACGCCCCATTCTCAGTCATTCATGATCAAAAACGACTGCGACAATAGAGATCCAACAACGGAAAACTTCCAATAACTATGGTATAATAAAATTTGTAACATTTATCACATGAATGAAAGTAGCGTCTCCACTATCGGTGCGTTCTTCTAACGCACCCGATGAAGGCTCCCGGTTCCTCATGGTCGTAAGGTCCCACCTCTCGTGGCTCGGCTTAGCTCCGAATCTTCAGCTCCGAATCGTTAGCTCCGCAGCTTTAGCTCCGTAGCTTTAGCTCCGCAGCTCTAGCTCGGCAGCTAGACCCCGCAGAGCTGCTCCGCGTGCATTCGATGGCTCCGAGCCTGCCGATGCCGACAAGACGGCCAGATTCTCGTGGATGTCGGCGTGCGCTGGGAGGCCTCCCTATAGTGTTCGGACTCGCTATCCCGGTTCCATATGACCGCACTCTGCCTGGCGGCGTGAGCCACCCCGCGCCAGCAGCAGCACAACAGGTACAGGTACATCCCCAGTGCAGCGCGGCCGTCGAGCATCACGCGCCGCTCCGACCGGCGAAAATAGTTCTGATAGATTCCACCTCCTCCGGATCCGTCTCCTCCGCGTTTCTCCTCTCCAGTTCCTCCGCGCAGCCGCCGCCACCTGCACCCCTATCACAGTCAGTAGGACTGGCAAGTGTAAAATTTGCACTGGAGACGCGCGTCCGACCTCTAGGGCTGGTCGGCGGCAGGCCCGGACGCAGGCGACTCGGGCCGCCGGGCGCGCGTCACCGGTCGCAGCGGCGCGGCCCTCTCCCACTGCCACCGACCCGGCTGCGGCCGCTCCTCCTCAAAGTTAAAGTTCCAGCGCTCCGTCTGGGCACGCATCGTCTCCTGCTCGTGCTGGTGTCGGGCGCGCTCCGCCGAGCCCGGCTCGACAGGCCCGAACAGGCGACGGCGCACCAGCATCGAGGGCGCCCGCGGCCCGCCGCCCGCGTCGTCCGCCACCTCGCCGCCCGCAGAACTGGAGCGACGCAGACGTTTGGAGCGGCGCGGCGCCGGCGCTGGCTCAGCGTCCCCGCTGGAGCTCGAGCTGCGCCGTGTCTTGGTGGAGTCCGCCTCTGGCTCCGGAGGGCCGGCAGAGCTGGAGGCTGCCGCTCCGTTAGCGGAGGGGGCCGCTGGTTGGCTCGGCGGCGGCTCTGTGACGGCCGGTGGAGACGGGGCCGGCTGGTCGACGACGTCCTCGTCACTGGCGTGGTCCCGGCAGGACATGGCCGACTTCAGCCGGGCCCGAACCGCATCCTACCTGCGGCACACAGGGGTCACCGAGGTCAGGTCACGGAGGTCACCACGGTCAGGTCACAGAGTTCACCACAGTTGGGTCACGGAGATCGACAAACTTAAGTTATCGATGTCAGGTCACGGATGTCATCAAGACCAGGTCACAGGTCATCAAGGTCAGGTCACGGAGGTCACCGGGGTCATGTCACGAAGGTCATGAAGGTCACGTTAAGGTGGTTATCAAAGGAAGGTCGCGGAGGTCAACACGGTTACGTCACGGAGGTCACCACGGGCAGGTGGTCATGGAAGTCAATAAGGTCAGATCACGAAGGTCATCAAGGTCAGGTCACGGTGGTTACTAAGGTCAGGCCACGGCACGACGTTTAAGGCATCGATTTAAACGAAGATCTTGCGCAGGGGCGTAGCATGGCGTATTAAAAGTTCTACGTTGACGAATGTCAATTGTCATCGATTCGTGATAACTAAATCGGTTGGGGGGGGGGGGTATGGGTGGCAGGACATTTTGGGGCGAGGGGGACTTTCATATGGTGTCTGATCTTCAAAGTAATCATAATACACATGCCCTTTTCGGTCTTACAAATTCCAGAGACGAGTTGCCCGTGCCCATTACCCGTCCCACTGTCAAGGCGAGTCCCGAACGCATTCAAAGCCAGAAGCAAAGATAAGAAGCTCTAAAGAAGACGTTTGTTGTAAATGGATGCAAAAGTGTCAGATTATGCAATGGCATACACACTTTATTTCCGCACTTGTTTGATGTATGTCCGTACAGTAAGAATGTAGGTAAGTACATTCGCTGTGGCTAGCACCTGGCAAAGCGGGTAATTTATTTACCTACTATTTTCGGTTCCTAAGATGGCTAAGGTTAATGTCTCTCTAAGTCATGAACACATGCATTTGTTGCTTCCATTTTTTTACAACGTTGTATTTGGCCAGGACCTGTGACCATGTGAATTGTGATGTTATTCTCTTGTTACAACAGAAGCTTCTAAAACAGAGAACAGGTCACAGAACTGCACGATATTCGGCGACGGGATGAAGTTGGCTGCTATTGACCGCTGTTGGATTTGTGGGGCGTGATTGCTTGGAAAATGCTATGCCTACAATCTCCACTAAGCCAAAACAGCATTTACATCATGTTTAAATCACAGTGTCGGTGTCGTCCCCCACTCCAGAAAAAATCGCAGAATATAACTCATGATATGAATCGGCATAATAAGACGAATAGGCAAAGCTTTAAGCTTCACATAATGACACAGGATCATATAGTCAATGGACCAGTAACATCTTCACGCAAAATTCAAGGGAACAAGCGACCTTGCTTGACCTGGGGAGTTTGAAATGTCCAAACAGTTTGATCAAATGTAGGTTATGTTACTTAACAACATTACGCGAGATTTCGTTATAAGATAGTGACACATCGACCGACACTCAACGGGCACTCATCGTGGAATAAACTTACCGCTGACAGTGACATTGATATGAGTAAAACCGATAACAGCCATTGAATCCATGAGATTGATTGAGATAACCATATCATGATTCATGAGTGAGCATCGTCGAGTTAAGCACCGAAAAGGCCGTCTCACGAGCATAGGTGTGTCATTCGTGAATCGTGTGCCCTCGCCTTCAGCAGTCACCGGACAGGTAGCCGGTGCCGCCTTCAACGTCACCAGCAAGCCGCCGGTGTCATCTTTTCTTCAGCACCAGCGTTCGTCAGTGCCACCAGAGAGTCACCAGTGGCTGCCTTCAGCGATCACCAGTGGCCTCCAGTGCCATCTTCAGCACCAGTGTCGCCAGTGAGACCTTCAGCGGTCACTATTGATCCCCCGGTGCCACCTCGCGCCAGTGCTCTATGCTGCGCCAGCGGGTCACAGTGATAGCCGGCGCCGCTCCGGGGGACGAGGACGGCGGCAGCCCGTTCTCTGAGCTCCAGGGGCCGCCGCCTACCGTCGATGGCGGCCCGGTCAGCGTGCTGACCCTGCTCAAGATCAACGACATCGACGTGGGGGCCGCGGCCGCGGTCGAGAACCACTCCCTGTGCACAGTCAGCGGGTGGCTGCACGCCGAGTGGCGTGACCCGCGCGTGTGCCGGCCCAGTAACGCGAGGGTGACGCTGGGCAGGGCCTGGAGACCCGACCTGCGCGTCCTGAACTCCGCCTCGGAGACGGCGGCGCCGCTGATCGGCGACCAGACTGAGGCACTGGTGCTGCGCCACGGCTGGCTGCTCGCCACGGTCCGGGTTCAGTGTCGGGTGCGGGTCACCAAACACGACTCGGGCAGCCACGCGGTGCGTCTGCGGCTGGGCTCGCACCTGCTCACCTCGGAGGACGTCATGTTCCACCCGCTGGACGAGGCCGTGGATGTGACGCACCTCACCGGTAACGATCGGTTCGGCGCGCGGAGGACGTCCCTTGTGGCGGACACATTTCAGGCGCGCCATTTCGGTGGTGAGTTTGTGACGTTCAGCTCGATTGTGGCCACAATTGTGTTCTAGTCTGGATGTCGGAAATACGCTAATTTAAATTTATTCCTATCGTTTTCAATCAAGGTAGGCGTCTGTGTTTGAACTGTTTGAAAACTGATATCAATGACATGACCTATCATCTGCAAGTCTGTGCTCTTCATTCGATTCCTTGTACTAGTCTGTTCATATCTAGTTGTCACATTGGTGTAAGCGATACCTCTTGACTGTGGACTGTGCCTTTACTTTATCGTTACAGGAGACGTGATTAAGACCAAAGGTCACTGTTATTTATATGTGTGATACCGTGATTTAGGCAGTACATAGGCAGTCGTTGATGAACTTTTCTACACGTGTTTTTGTTTTGCACTGCATTGAGCTTCTTATGAACTAGAAATCCTGAAAAATTGTTTTATTTATGCGCAGTTCAGGTAATCAATTAAGTAAAGTTTTATGTAGTTGGTGCGAGAAAAATATATCACATTGCACAATGCACAATGCTTATTATCCCTACAGGCATGATACGATTCTGCATCCATTTCAGTGAGGCTATATAATGAGCGTGTCGCTCCACTGTTTTCGAACCCGGATGTGATAACCTTTTATGGCTCACGGCAATGTGATCTGCAGAGTGTTGTCCATGTTGAATAAGTGTGCAAAATCCACTGACCTGATACCGGTGTTAATAAATTGATTATATCTGTCACGTGTTATATAACCACTTAGTATGTCGACCAGTTCAATGTTGAAACCATCCAATAACATCCATAATAAACCATGATAAACCTCATGGAAGCCCAGACAAACCGTCACCTGTCTGCCAGATTTTGTACACTTTTTCCTTTTATCTATTTGTCATAGCTGACAGCATTTGATGTCCAGTTTCGGTACGGGACGCAAAGCAACTGTATATCAGTCTCTTTACCTTTAGTTTGGACGCACTTACATATATACATTAGTTGCCAACTATGATGTAACTTCAGCCTTCAACGTTCCGTTTTAATTACCTCACAGGTAAGACGTTTTTGTTTGACAAGAGTCAATGCGGTTGATGCGAACAGCCCGTTACTTCGCTCCTTTTATTGATTCATAGCCTCGCGAAGGAAACGAGAGGTTGCTTTTACAAGTAGATGAAATTTGTATCAAATTTTATCATCTATTCTTAGGTAATTTGGTGACGTTTGAGGTCAGGTCAAATATCAAATTGCCACCAATTTTTTTTCAAGATTAGGCGTACCGTTTAGAAATAACTATGACGCGTTTATCAGCACAAAACTGGCAGCAAGGTCTTCACATTCAACCTTCTCGAAGCGACTGCCTTTTTCTGTTTTAATCGAATATTGAGAGCACATTTTGACGAGCATTCTGACGGAACGTTGCATCGCAAAAACTGGTCGCGGTCTAGGGATTCAGCTGTCACGGCACGTCGTTAACCCGCGCCCCACTGGGGGGACTATTTATAGCCCCCCTCCCGTTTTTCTGCAATAACTTCCAAACCGCTTGACGGATCGACGCCAAACTTTCAGTACCTTCGGCTGCATTAATTTGACACCTTGTGTAAAAATTTGAACTTCGTAGCTACTATAGGTCGGCCGGAAATGACGTCAGAGTGACGTCATGTTCGTCCGATTTCGACGCAAAACATTGAACCACGGCAATCGCTCCCAAGAGCTCAGTTTTTAACCCAGATCCAATTTCTTTGCAGGAAAGGACTTAAAATTGACCGCGCTATCAAACTGTTATCTCGGATTTTCAAAATTTTGAAAATTTTGAAAATTTTATATAATAATATTCAAAATTTATATTCTTATATTTTTTTTCAAAAAGTTTTTGACTTTTCGAAAAAACCGGAATATATGTGACAGAACGCATGATTATGACTAACTCTAGCAAGTTTTAGCTAAATATCTTAAAAAATGGCCAAGTTATACGCATTATTGCAAAAAATTCACAATTATCAATTTTTCAAATCAATTTTTCAGTACGTATTTGACATCGTACACCAATATAAATGGCACCATCGTGTTCCTGAGCTCAAACTGCATCCAATAGACACCTTTTTTGTTGAAAAATTTTAACTTCAAAATTTGACCTTTTTTGACCTGAAAGTGACCTGACCTAAGCTAAATTCGACTCAAAATGACCTCGAATGACACAGACGACATCAAATTCGAAATCTATGGCCTAAATGGACCATAAAACCTGTGTCACGTGACCGACGGATGATATAATATTTTCGTGACCTGTGATGACCTGACCTTGACCTGAAAATCAAAGTACAAGTTTGGTACCCTCAGAGTATCTAGAGCATCTGTTCACGAGTGTGGGAACCAAAAATGAGCCTGATCTGACTTGTAAGACGGCGGCCAGAGCCCAAAACGTGAAGAAGCCAAAATGCTAATAATTTTTACTTTGACCTGACCTGTGACGTCATCGGTGACCTCGAGGTCAATGAAATTAGGTTTCGCTCGACAGTTTTTCCGGGGCTATCAGACGCCGTTTGAATTTAGACGATCGGCCCAGTAGTTTCGGAGTTAGGAGGG